ATTATTTTTTCCCCTTGTCTTATGAGTAAGTCTCTAGAAGGCCTATATACTATTTCTCTATTCTTTTCTGTTCTTCCACCCAGAGATCAGCACAGAGGGCTCAGTAAACGGTTTTGGATAAGGGTGATGATGGTCCATTGGAATAACATGGGCGATGTGTCTGGTTAACTAGAACTCACCCATCCTGGGAAGACGTAGGTACGGGGAGATAATGGGGAGTCATTTGTAGTCCTTGTCACTCGTCCTTTATGTCACCAATGCTGTTTGCTCCCTTCCTGTCGTCCCCACAGCCTGAAACTCTACCCACAAAAGGCTGATCATTGTTAATATGTGACAGTCCACCCTGAGGCTTCCTCTGGTTGGGAGGCCACACGTGGCCTCTGAGAGAGCACCTGGTTCCGGAAGCTGCCCTCAACCCATGACCGAAGCGGCAGGACACACCCGGTCATGGTATCTTATTGTGCTAGAGGACGGTGTCCACTCAAATTCCTAGTACCGTGGCTCTTGTCACTGTCATTTCATTGGCAAACTTACCAAATCGCAGAGTGCTGGACTTGACCCCCCTGGTGTTTCAGCAGAGAGTGGACAGGGAAGGACCGGGGTCCTGTGGTGCCTTCTTTCTTGTTTTAGTGCAGATGAGCCGAAATAGATGGTTTGCCTGCCTTTTCTCAGCTGAAATCATTAGGGCGAACATGGACCTTCAACAGGGAGACGGGGCAAAGGGATGGGAATGGGGGTTTGAAAACAAGGTACGCTTCAGGGAAAGCGGTTTTTTGGGGGCTAAATGAAAGGATCATCGGGAAGTTTCTGCGTAGTCTGGTAGGTACCAGGCACATGGAGTCATGGGAAATAAATGCTAAGATGAAATACACATTATTTTCTTAATAAAGGAAATAAAGAATCACTATAGAAAATGTACAAAGAAGTTGGAAATACCAGAAATAAGTTTGAGTGTTTGTTTTGAGAAAAGACATAGACTTTTTGAGAAAAGAATATTATAGTGTATCATGTGTATAAAAAAGAGAGTTTTCTTATCATGGGCAATTGCTATCCTAAAATTGGAATTGACTCAGTAAGGGGAGTTCAAACTGAGTTGTATATGCTTGCTATTTTCCAATAGCAGCCTTAGAAATTCAATAATTTGGAAAAGGAAAGATAAATAAGATCTGTATTTCTTATAATCATGCAGTTTGTATATAAGCTCCTTTAGTCTTACTTTTTCCCAGTGATGGTTACTTGCCCTATTTTTAATATAATGATTTCATGATGTATGGGTTTATTTGAATTTAGTATGTTAGCAAGAGAGTGAATCTTTTGCCCTGGCTGGGTAGCTTAGTTGGTTAGAATGTCGTCCCAATATGCCAAAGTTGCGGGTTTGATCCCTGGTCAGGGCACATACAAGAAGCAACCAGTGAATGCATCAGTAAGTGGAACAACAAACTGAAGTTTCTGTTTCTTTCTCTAAAATCAAGAAATTAAAGAAATTAATCTTTTATTTCATGTTAATCTTCCTTGATTTGCAAATCTAAGGTTATATTAAACACGCTTGCATGTAGGCCCTTCTTAAAATACGTATGGTCGCTGGATTATAGATAAATGAATCATTTTCTGTGCTGTATCTAAATATGCATTACCCCCGGTGACGATGAGTCGGACACCCCTGCATTACGGGTTTCTGAAACGAGGTCTAAAGGTCAGGTCTGAAGTGCTGTGTCCTTCCGGTTCTCTGGGATGGTCACGTTCAGCTAACACGTTGACGCATTCCGTTCACTGCAGTCTATTCCCACCATCTCCTGGGTTCTCCAAGATGATGAGATACATGTCCAACGACCATTAAAAGTGCAATCAGAAGACAGGTGCTATCATAACATGCTAATAACAAAACTGAATGGAATCTTGTTATTACAGGATGGATGCATTTACATATTGACACGTGACATTGGATTCCGCATTCTTTCAGGGGTTGCAAGCTTAGGATGAAAGGCATTTTGACTTAATGTTGAAAATGGCCATTAAGCCACGGAGATGATGAGGAAGATAAAACATTTGCACAGAATATAGGTAATAGAAAATATAAAGAGAGACCGCTAGTGCCAGCCCGTGAGCTGCTTATGTGAATTAGGTAACTCTGAGTCAAGTGACCAAAGAAAACCAGGTCTATGGAATTACAAGAAATATACCCTGGCTGCGGTGTGACTCAGTGGATTGAGTGCTGGCCTGTGAACCAAGAGGTCACTGGTTCGATTCCCAGTGAGGACACATGCCTGGGTTGTAGGCCAGATCCCCAGTAGCGGGGTGTGCAAAAGGCAACCACACATTGATGTTTCTCTCCCTTACTTTCTCCCTCCCTTCCCCTCTCTCTAAAAATAAATACATAAAATACTTTTAAAAATTAAAAAAGATATGAACTGTGCTCATTGGGGACCTCTGTCATATCACTTTTGTGTGTGACCAATCTAACCGCAAGTGATTAAAAGCTGTCACATTCAGTAGATAAACTCATCCACCAAAGCAGTAATGTTAACTGTAGTTATGAACAAATGGCAATCTTACCCTAATGGCTACAAAAATCAATTAAGCCACTTGTTTGATGTACTACAAGCTCCCGGAAAGTCTAATTGGGTAGCTGATTTCATTGGTCTCTGTTTACACAAATTACTCTCTTTTAAAGATGCCTGTGAACCCTCCCATTAAGCATCTATCAGAAGGACTATACTCTGCTGGCATCAGAAGCTCTTGGGAAGCTTGAGAGGTGTCTCTCTGGTCCCGGACAACCCTGATGCAAGGCTCAGACTTGTATCTCGTGGAGGGCAGTGGTGCCACTGGGAGATATTGGCATCGGTCCCTGATCCCCTCCTTCTCAGAATGGACTCGTAAGGTGTTAACACCTGCAAGAAGTGGATGTTACCTTTTCCATGCCTCTTGGTCTTAAGATATCGAACAGGGCCCCCGACTCCTTACTCGTTACTCCCCCCCAGGGGCAGGGTGCCTGGCGGGTGCTTTTCCCTGGTCCCTGTCTGTGCTCATTCTGGCTCAGCTTCTGTGATCCTTTGTCTCCTTATGGGGCTTCCTGGTCTCTTTATTCATTCAACAAATAATGCAGGAGGGGCTACTTCACGGAAGGTGCTGTTCTCGATGCTGGGAACAGTAATGAAAGAAAAACACAGTGTCTGCTTGTGGAGTGGACACTCTCGTGAAGGAGGACTGATGTTAGACAAAAGAACGTGTTGAGTACCAGACATTGATAACTATGGCAGAAAATAAAAAGTAGGTTGATGACAGCTGAATTTAGAGTAATTAGGGACGTCCCCTCTGATGGCGAGCCTGAAAAGGGTGGGGGTACCAGGCATCTCCAAATCTGGGGGAAGAAGTGTCCAGGGGTAAGAGCAATAAGAAAAAAATGCCTTGAAGGAGCACTGTGGTTGGAGAGTCCAGGGGACCCGGAGCAGTGAGTGAGGGGAACAGAGGAGGGCAGAGGGGAGTTGGGGGGAGGTTAGGGGTCACATCGTGGAAGGTCTTGAAGTCCAACCGGCTCTGAATGGGGTGGGAAGTTTTCCAAAGGTTTTGAACAAAACCTCTTTGTGTTCCCTTCCAGTCGCTGCTCAGGTGTAACCTCTTCCGACTTTGAACCCTGTGCTTTAATTTGGCTTGAACTTCAACATAAATGGAAGTGTTGTGGTCTACTTCCTTAGTTTTCTAACTTATTTCATTCAGGTTATCTTTGAAATTCATCCATATTGTCGGATATGGTTGTAATCTACTCATTCTCAGTGTCGTGCTGAATTAATTGTATGAATAGGATGCAATCTATTTATGCATTTTACTAATAATTGGCATTTAAACTGGCCTGGCTGTCATGGACAATGTTACTCTGGATATTTTCTTTTTTTTACTTTTTTTTTTGAAAGAACACATGAATACATTTATTTGGTCATTTACAAAAAGGTGGAATTGCTGGGTCGGAGGTTATGCCTCTAGAGCATTCACCAAGATGACTGTAATGAGAGATGCCCCCGTCAGTGGTGTTTGAGAGTTCCAGGTGTCCTGAGAGTGACGCCCTGTGTCACCTACCGCCCTCCCTGTGTGTGTGCTGGACCTGGTGGCTTGCTTCAAACTTACAGGAAAAGTGTATAGAGAAATCTGTAGCCAAGGGATAGCATGTTGCGTCTGAGATCAGGTGGTGAGGACTGTGACTTTCTTTTTGTGGGGACACTTGCCGTCTCGCTTGCTCACTCCGGTGAAGCCAGCAGCTCTCTTGTGACCTTCTGCACGGGGAGGCCTGGGACTAAACGGAGGAACCCAAGGCTTCAGGTGGGAAGTGGATGGTGCCAGCAGCCCCTGGAGTGAGCTTGGCGGCAGACCCATCCACAGGTGGCTTCAGTCTAAGGTGACTGCCGCCTCGGGAGAGACTCAGAGTCAGGAGACCGCACGGAGTACACGGGTTTCCGACCCAGATGAATAATGAATGCATGTAAATGTGGTAGAATCAACGTGTGTTGCTTTATGCCATTACATTTTGGGGGTAATTCGTTAACACACTAACCATTGGAATATACTCCTTTGTGATGTGCCTGTACAGATTTTTGTTCATTTATCTTTTCGACTATGTGATTACATGCTTATTTATTTTTTGTTTGTTATTTATTTGTAGGAGTTTTAAAATTATTTTGAATATGGCACCTAACATACGTATTATATATATCCTTCCATTGTATGGCTTGCCTTTTTACTCTGTTAATGGCGTATTTTGATGAAGAGTGATCATTAATTTTAAGGTAGTCAGTTTTATCAATTTTTTTGCCCTTTATAATGAATGCTTTTTGCATCCTGTTTTAAAAAGTTCTGCCTATCTCAAGGTTAATGGAGACATAGAGCAGACTGCTCTATGTTTCCATTTAAAATTTTATTGTTTTACCATTTATATTTATATCTTCAGTCCATCTGAAATCGATTATGTTTATGGTCTGAGCTAAGTCTCGTGATTTATTTTTTCTACACAGATATCTGATCCAGGAACGGTTACTGAAGGGATCATCCTTTTCGCATTGCACTTCAATGAACCATTTATTATAAACCAGGTAACTGCACGCACCTAACTGTTCTGTATGAGCTTGGTTAAGCTGAGAGCCACATTTCCCAGAAGCTCCTTCTCTGAATGGTTTTCCATTAGGGTTGGCTAGTAGAGGAATGTACCATTAAAGATTTGAAAGGAGAACATGAGCCATTACTCTTTGGAAGTTGTCTTAGGTCCACAGATAGAAGTGATGATCCCCAGAGTGGGTGGTGGGACTCTTGTAGGGAATGCAGCAAAATCCAGCTTCGGATGCCAATGGGAAGAGAAGTGGAATGTTTGGGATGGGGGGTATTTTTTTTTTTTTTGTCCTTTGTTAATGAGTTAGTGCTCTCATCTTCTCAGACGGGCGTGAGAGCCTGGGTTTAAATTTAAGTCAACCTTGGAACAAAACTCAGAAAATGAATTTCAAAGGCCAAGTGTTGAGACGCCCAAAAGAACATGGCAAGCATTGGGGGACAATCTTTTAGCAGAGTGTTCGCGAAGAACCTTTTCTTATGCGCCTGGAACAATTGGCAAAGGTGTCGTTGATGGGTATAGAACGCCCAGCAGAGCTTTCCCTAGAGCTCCGGTTTCTGTTTGCACTTGGCCCCGATCAGCCCACACCCTTGTAGGTCTGCTCCACCCGTGCTGAGCTTGCTGGGCTGTGACCCAAACTGTTCCCCTTGCAGAATGCAGAGAATTTGCTTGCTCTCTCAACTGCACAGCATAGAAAACCTCCACGTTTCATTTCAACCTGTCAGATCATGTTGGGTGAAAACCCGCTGTGTGTTAGCAGAGGTCATGTGCGGTGTCCGCCTTTTTGGATTTACCTCGATGGAGAAATGTGGAGAGGAAATGGCAGATGGACACTGCACCCCCATGGAGCGAAATCAGTTTTTGATACAACTGTAGTTTGCTGTCTTTGCATAGCAAACTAGCAGGTGAGGAAAGCCAGCCTTCGGAAAAAATGCAGGCGTCCCCGGAGCAGAGCTGGCAGACGCTTAGCTTTCTTCATTATGGTGCTTTGCTGGGGTTTTTGGTTGTTGTTGGGACTCCAGGGATCTGAGAAAGTATGAGCCGATCTGTTAGGTTCAAAAGATCATCCCTTGTAAAAAAAAAAAAAGAAGGAAAACCCAGCAGGAGTTAATAATTAAACAGACTTTAAAAAATAATATCGACACCACCCCAAACTCTCTCCTAAACTCTGCACCCATGTAGCCAACTGCCAACCAGCAGACAATGAGTTATGTCCTCCGGGCAAAGCCACCGCCTCCCAGGAATTCCAGGATTTCTAAGAATGTCCAAAATGCCCCTCCTCCTCCCCTTCTCTCAGCTGCCTCTCTGATTTCCCAGTGAAATGCCCTGTGATTTATGCAGCGGTTGAAGCCGGACTCCCTGATACTTCCCTTTGCAACTCCGGCCCCTCCCGGCAGCTTTCCCCACCACACGCATCCAAAAGGAACCCCCTCCTGTCTTTATGTTCCATCCTTGGCCGTTTTCTCATGTCCAAGTTCACTCCTCCCCAGGGGTCCCCACCCCAGGCTTTGTCTCCATCAGAAACCCTTCCCTTTCGTCTCGCTCCATCACAATGCATTTTTCAAATGAAAGGGAAATGATTGTGCTAGAATTCATCAATTCAGGTCATGCCCCTCTTTGATTTAAAAGCCTTTTATTTGTTTTCCATTGCTCTACAACCAAGTCCAAAGTCCTTAAGAGATCTTTATGTCCTTTCTTCTTGCACTCCTTGTATTGAAGCTGCCAATTCCTGATAAACGCACCTTCTTTCCCCATTTTGAAATGAGTACTGCCTTCGCTTAGCTGTTTTCTCTGCCTGGAACAGCCGCACCAGCTACCTAGCTGGCTGGGGCAACTCTTCACATGTCTGTCAGGGATTTTTCCTCCCTCCTGCTAGACCAAGTGCAGGCGCTTCCACAGCTCCCTGGGATTCCGTGATCAGAGTACTAACGTGGTTTATTATGATTATTTATCTGCCCCACCTCTAGACCTTAGGCTCTTAAGGGGCCTGGGCAAAATCTGTTTGGTTCACAGTTCCACCTTCAGCTCACCTCTATACCCATCCCATTCGGGTGACGCAGAGTAGGCTCTTCACATGTATTTGCCCGATGAAGCTCTATCTATGGGCTCGCTGGGCATTCACGTGCGTTATCTTCTTTAATGTTTGTAACAGCCATGCAAAGTAGGTTTGTGTTCATTGAACAGACCAGAAAGCTGAGGCTCAGAGAAGGGTGGAGTTTGCCTCAGGTCACCGAATGGGGCCAGCGGTGGGGCTGGAATAAAAATTCAATGTCCGGTGTTTTGCCGGAAGTTATGCAGGGAGGTCACGTACACAGTGCTTTTGTGAATGTGGAATTTTATTTGGGGATGACAGAGGGGCTGGTAAGAAACAGGAAAGTTGGGTATGAGGGGAGAGCACATGGAACAAGAAGGGGAAGAGATACCGAAGTCGTCTGCTTCACGTCTCGCGTGCAGAGTCCGACCTTCCTCTGGGCCGCGCGCACCTTCTCCAGGTTCACCTGGTGGGGCGGGTCCTCCCCACCTGCCTGTCACCTGCCACACCTCAGCAAGGTCCACGGTTTTAAGAAACAGGCTGGAGGACACCAAGTTCCTAACCTTGGTCAGCAGATGGGAATCATGTGAACTTTTCAAGGTTAATCGCCTACTTTTTATTTCCTTGATATGGTAATTCCCTCTCTTTGTTGGACCAGATGAGTGAAAATGTGTTTGGTTTAATGTCTTACTTATCGTTGCCCCCATGGCCCCCAAATGTTGACTCAGAGAAATTGTATTAGTTCATTTACCACCATACCAGGGAGGCCTGCAAGAAATTTTACCCACACAATGCTTGTTTTGCGTCGAAATCCCAACGATTACCAGTGTGGCCCTTTGTATGTGGAAATACAGTATTTTCCGCTCAGTCCTGTGCCAACCACGAGCCTCCGGGAAGGGCTTTGCACAGCAGATGTTCTTACTTTTTATTTCATAACATGCTGTTCCATTTGATGGTGCGTCTGAATTTCTGAAAATGTAGGGGACAGAGCATAATTTACAAGGAGAACATTGTCCAAATGAAAGCTGTGTGTGTGTATGTTTTCAGTGATTTGACTAATTGCCAATGGAGAGCAAAGCCATCTGAAGAATTTTAGAATAAATCATCATTAACCATACATGACGTGTTGTACAACAACTAGGTTCTGATGCACAATTAGTCACCTAATTAGGTTTAAAATTCATTTAAAGAGATGGCTCCCAGCCCTGGCCCACCCACTTATTTGTATTACTCTCCCACTTACACACTGGTTACTACTTGAGGCTCATATATGAGCTCTGGGGCCCATATACCAATGCGTGCTGGGTGGAAAGGCGGGTGACCTGTTCGGATGCCCAATGAATCAGGTCTCTTGAGACCCACGTTTCACAGTGAGCTACATATACTTTGAACACTGTTCACTGGGGAGAGCCTCTTTCTGTAGAACTTCTCACTGGAACTATGCACCCTACTTGCTTTACATGGTAACGTGATGAGTCAGGAATGAATAGATGATACACTCAGGAAAACCACTTCCTGTGGAGGCGTGGCCATCAGGGCTTCCTGTTTCACTGATACTGAGACACAGATTTCTTCACATTGTTATCATCCTGGGACTTCGGGTATGTCTCACAATCAATGATCATGTCGTACACACTTTTCTGAGGTTTTATTTCTTGGTAAAACATAAAATGGTGTGTCTTACAATCAATGACATCTTGAATACAGTGAACTATGATGTATTGCTCCTTAGGGAACTTTAAGTGGAGTTTCTTTAAGTCACCCATAGATCTGAACGTGCTTACTTATTAGACACAGTATTTATGCTTTTATTTCTTCCCTCCAGTACATATAATTAACACTGTGTTTGGCACTAGTGAAATAAAGCAAGACTCTGATACTGCGCTCTAATAGCCAAGTATGGAGTGTCAGATCTATCAAATACGTTACGGTGCAAAACACTGTGGTGAGATTTCTGGCCAGGTAGTGCCGCGGGTTAGAGCATCATCCTGGTACGCCGAGGTTGCAGGTTCAATCCCTGGTCAGGGCACGTACAAAGAAGCAACCAATGAATGCATCAACAAGTGGAACAACAAATCAGTGTTTCTCTCTCTTTCCCTTCCTCTCTCTCTAAAATCTATTACACGAAATTGTGATGAGCGCTGCCCTGAGGGTGATACAAGGCACAGTGTGGAGGAGTATGAACTCTGCATATTTAATCCAATGAACCTCTTCTGTACATTTGTAATTTTATGAAATGGCCTTGTCATTTGTTCCCGTATTTGTGGTGACAGTTCATAGAGAAGTGTTTTTCATCAGTTTTCTCATTTGCGGTGACAGGAGAAGTGCTTCATATGGGAGGGGGGAGGGGTTCGTGTTCATCGAAGTGACAGTGAGTCTCAGGCTTTAGTGCATAAGGGTCATGGAGGGCGTTTATTAACAAGGCAGATTTGCCTGTTCCAAAGCCTGATACATGTAAGTGGCATGTTCGAATGACAGCCAGCTTTGTGCAGTCACGATGCTCCTACTGAACAGGGAGTGGATCAGTCCTACTTGCACACACAGTTTTCTGTGGCGACCAAGGAAATAATTAATATTTTTAAAAGTCTCTAAAAGTACTTTGTGCTTAAACCAATGCTTAGTCAACTTCTTTCTGCTCTTCTGAATCGAGAAGGAGGTGGTATTGAAGGAGACACGAGGAGATGGATCTGATCTTTGGGGATAAGGAGGGAAAGGGAGGTGTTACAGGTAGGACCGGAGCCCTACAGTGTCCTGTCTTTCTCCTCCGCCCCATGCCAACCCAGTTCTGTGTCCCTTGGAGAAACTGCCCATGTACCTTGCACCGTATTGCAATCGGAAGCGTCTTGAGTAACAAAGGACGAATGCACTGACCAGCTCAGGCCCTTGAGATAAAGCAGGATTTTCAGTGGCTGGACTGGCCCAAGAATTTTACTGACTTTCATTGGGTATATTTGGCT